TGGGCTAATCGGAAAGTTACTTTGGGTCTCAATGTGGAGCCTTGATTTTATATGCATCTGGGATATTAGAGGACCTTGGGTGTTATTGCCACTGGGTGTGAGGAATGGGAACCAGGAACTAGAGTGAGCTGGCCACCTTCATCCTATTCGACTTAGCAGAAAAGTAAGTAATACAGTTCATCGGTTCATCAGTTCTTTCCAGGAGGACAAGATGGCTTACCGGGTGACGGAGCTGGCCACCAAGCCTGATGTTCTGAGTTTGCTCTGACATCCCCAAGTTACCCTCTGGTCTACACATGTATGCCATGGCATGCACGTGTCCACCGCACAAAAGGTACAATGAATGAACTATTTTTTAAAAATTTAAAAACGCTAACATTGAGAGCACTGGCTGAGGAGACAGCCGAGGGCCTCCTTGGGACTGTGAAGAGAAGTCCAGGGTGTCGAGCGCCGAGAAAGACGTCAAGGAAGGCGTCTGGACACACGAGCTGACCTCGGAGGAGTGGTGGGGTCTAAGCAGGAGGAGGTGAAGGGAGGGTGTGGTGTCTGAATGAGAATGGTCTCCACAGCTCAGACGTTTCAATACTTGGTTCCCCGCCAGTGAAACTGTTTGAGAAGGATGGGAAGTGGCCTTGCTGGAGTCGGTGTGGCCTCACTGGAGGCAGTGTGCCACTGAGGGTGGGCTGTAAGCTTTCAGAAGCCCACAGCAGGCTCAGTCTCTTTCTCTCTCTGCCTGCAACTCGTGGATAAGATGTAAGTCCGCAGCCACTCCTCCAGCACCATGATGGAAATAGATTAACCCTCTGAAACTGTTAGCAAGGCCCCAACTAAATGCTGTCTTTTAAAAGTTGCCTTGGTCATGGTGTTTCCCCATAACAGAACTAAGTACCTAAGACAGAGGGGATGCTTGGGGGAGGGAGAGCCCGAGTGAGGCCTGGGCATGTGGAGGCCGGGCCCGGTCAGCGGGGAGGCCGGGCCCCGTCAGCGAGGAGGCCGGGCATGGTCAGCGAGGAGGCCGGACCCGGTCAGCGAGGAGGCCTGGGCACGAGGAGGCCGGGCCCCGTCAGTGAGAATGCTGTCAGGCTGCTCTTTCACTCTCTCATGGCCTCACGGTCTTGAACAGTGCCGGACACATCGCAGACACTCACCGAATTGGATAAATAAATGAATGAATGAACTGCCAAGAAGGTAAACAAAGAGGAACGAGTGGGCAGATGGATGGATGGTGTGTGGTCTGAATGGGAGCTGCCCCTCAGTGTCATGTATCTGAACACTTGGTCCCAGTTGGTGGTGCTCTGCTTACGGAGGTTGCAGGATCTTTTGGAGGCAGAGTCTTGCTGTAGGAAGCGATTACTGGGCTTTGAGTGTTCAAGGTCTCGTCCCACTTCCAGTTCCCTCTTTCTGCTTCTTCTTTGTGGTTGAAGATGTGATCTCTCGGCTTCCTGCTCTGGCTGTCTTCTGTCATGTCTCCTCAGCCGTTATGGACTCCCCCTCCAGAACCAAAAGCTCAAATAAATTTTTCTCTAAGTTGCCTTTGGTCATGGTGTTTTATCACAACAATAGAAAGGTAGCTAATACAGATGGAGGAGTGGAGAGATGGATGATATTCGGATGGAGGGAAGGTCTGATGGATGACTGAAAGGTTGAACACTAGAGTGATGGATGGATGATGGTATTTATGGTTGGACATTTGAAGAATAAATGATAGGGTAGTGGGTGAACAAATGAACAAGTTTGTACAAATCCCTTCGCTCCTCCCCCCCCTCCCCCGCCCCACCGAGGTATTCCCTCAACCCACCCACTCCTACCTACCTGCTGGGAATCCCTCATGGTGCCACCCAACACCACCTAAAAAAACAGTGCTTGAGGTGGGCCAGGCTAGGCCCTGGGATTCAAAGAGAACCATACAGATCGGCACACAGCCCTGTCCAGGGATAAATGCCCATGTCTACATGAACACCGGGTCCCTCCTGGTGCTCGGTAGCAAGAGCTAACCCCGAGAGAGAGGTCAGCCAAGCTGCCAGGGTTTGTCTGGAGGCAAGTGGGAAAGGCAAGTGTCCAAACAGGGCTGCGGTACTGACGTCATTGTAGGCCTAGAGGAAAATGCTGATGTGGGAACGTGGGCCCTGGGCTGGTGGCCAAGGGCTGCTGATGGCCTAACAGGGGTGGCAGAGTGGCAGAGAGGAGGGGCTGGCAGCTTGGCAGAGGGACCAGCCAGGGAACAGAGACAGAAAAATGAAGAATCGGAGACGAAGAGAGGGAGGAGGAGAGAGGGAGATACAGGGAGAGATGCGTTAGACAGAGGTGTGCAGGAACACAGAAAGGCAGGAACACAGAGCATGGCGAAGATGCAGAAGGCTGCTGGGAAGTCTGGTGACCCTGATTCAGGAAGAGATGAATGTGGGGGCCAAGGAAGAGGGAGAGGCTCGAGGACCCCTCCCCTCGCTGAGGGGCTGTGGCCAGTGGTTATTGGTTGGGGGAAGCCATTCTTCTTCAGTAGTGTAGCTGCTAGCAGACTGCTGTGCTTGGCAAATAACCACACCCATGTTCATACAAGCAATTCTAATTACGTACAGGGCATTAAAAAAAAAAAAAGGCACTAAAGTGGGAGGGGGAAGGTGTTGGGGAAAAGACTTCCAGGAGGATTGGGGGGAAATAAGAGAGGGTGACAGTGTTGGAGAGAGGTCCCAAAGTAAGAAGAGACAGCAGACTGGGGGCTGAGGAGGACAGAGAGCCTGAGTTTTATCAGAATACATTCTATACACATATGAAATTGCCAAAGATAAATAAAACAGATGTGTGTATGCATGTGTGCATCTGATTGCACTTACTTATTTTTAAGAACTTAGGTTGAGTTCCAGAGAGAGACAGAAGTGAGAGCAGGATTTGGAGGATTGATAGTTGTTCAGACCCACCCCTGGCCCACCCAGTGCCCTGACAACGTTATCTTAAAGTCCTCTTTAAGAAAAAACCCTCCCCTTCTCTCTCTTCTTTCCTCTCTGTCGCCATGAGGTAGCACGCATCTCCTCCTTTCCTTTTCTTTCTCTTCTTCCTCTCCTCTCCTCAGACCTTGCCTGTTTTCTTCCCTTCCCCCCAATAAAACTTTTCACATGGATGCCATGTCTGCATGGTGCGTCTCCCTCACCCACCCTGAGGCTCCCTGGCTCCACCGGCCAAGGCCTGTCTCCTGTTTTACAAAAGTTCCAGCTACTTTTCTGTTGCTAAGATAAAATGCTCTGACCAAAAGCAACTTAGGGGAGGAGAGGGCTTTTTTCACTCACACTTGCAGGGCTCGGTTCATCTCTGAGGGAAGCCAAGGCAAGTCCCGAAGGCAGGGACCATGTTGGAAAACTGCTTCCCAGCATGCCTGCCATCCATGCCTCTGCCTGGCTATCTTCCATATGAATTCCAGGCCCACCGCCTAGGGAATGGTGCCACCCACAGTGGGCTGGGTCCTGCAACAGCCACTAAAAATCCAGAAAGCCCACAGGCCAATCTGGGCTAGGAAATTCTCAGACGAGGCTTCTCTCACGTGACTCCAAGTGTGTGGAGTTGACAGTCAAAGCTCACCGGGACAGAGGACTTTCAGTGAACCACTGTCTTAGCAAGAGATGAGAGGAATGACCCAAGAGAACATCAGGTTTGAGTGAGATGTTTCCCCAAGGCAGCTAATTAACTTGACGCCCTGTTGTGGCGTTTGTTTGGGCAGTTTAGGTGTGGCCTTGCTGAAGGAAGTGTCTCTCGGGGCAGGCTTTGAGAGTTCAAAGCCTGTCGTTCCCAGTTTGCTCTCTGCTTCCTGCTTGCGGTTAGGATGTGAGCTTTCAGCTTGCTGTTCCTGCAGCCATGTCTGTTGCCTGGTGCTACCTCTGACTCTTACCCCTCCAGAACTGTAAGGCCAAGCACATCTTTTCTAAGTGGCCTTGGCCGTGGCGTTTTATCACAGCAACAGAAGAGTATCTAGTTAGTCAGGTTACACAGCGTTCCAGGCTGCCGTCTGATCTGAGACTGTATTCTCTTCTTGCGCACTCTAGTCTCACGAGGATTGGGAGGCACGGGGTCCACTGGGCTGGGGCTGCATGGTTAGACACGGGTGCACTCATCCATTCAGTAATGCACTCGCCTCCAACACGAGGGCTTGGGCAGTCAATGGTGCTCCCTGTCCTTCAGAGATGGACTTGAAGAAGGCAGCTTAATGAGGGGAAGGGAAGGGAAGGGCCAGTGAAGAAGCAGAGTGCTTGCCTAGTATACACAGGACTCTGCGTTCAATTCCCAGAACCACGTGCATGCAGGAGCATTCTTGCTCGCTAGTGCATGCGCTCTTACACACACACACACACACACACACACACGCACGCACGCACGCGCGCACACACACACACACACACACACCTCTGGAAGAACAATGAAAGTCATGGCCTATTGTAGTGATTATCAAGGCAATTCCGCTAGTTAAAAAGGAGGTTTATTTTGGGGTAACTTACAGCCAGTAAAGGGGCTGGTTACAGAATCCAGAAGAGGTGAGGTGCAATCCAGCAGGGTTCTCTGGAGATCTCTGCTCGGCCTACCATCCAGCATCCAGGATCACCAGGAACCAAGAGGGCTGGCACATCCACATCTCGGGTCTTAAGGGCTCCTATCTTGACCCCACTCATAGGTAGGCATGGCAGTTACCGGAAGCCTCACTAGGGGTAGTACTTCCAGGTCAAAGCTGAAACATTTACCCACTACAATGGCCACAGAAGATTGACTGAGACCATTGAAGTATGGACTTTTTAAATTGCCAATAACAGCCAGTCATAGAGGGCATGACTTTAATCCCAGCACTCAGCAGGCAGAAGCAGGCCAACAACTGTGAGTTCGAGGCCAGCCTGGTCTCCATAGTAAGTTCCAGGGCTACATGGTGAGCCCTGTCTTGAAAAAAAAAGAAAAAGAAAAAAACCAACGCCCCCCCGCCCCCCCCCCCGCCCCGCCGGCGCCAAAACAAAACCCACCAAAACCAGTTAAACTGATCGACGTTTAAGTTTCTCAACTCCTAACAGAATTGTGAGCTTCCGGCACAGCTGGACCCGGCCATGCCAACCACTGGAAAGCTGGCTGCCTTCCCCGCCGATTGTCTTTGCTCTCAAGCAAGTTCTGTATCTGCAGGGTGGCACACTGGCCACCACCACCCTTAAAGAAAGAGAACGAGACTCCTTAGCGTTGGTTGCAGAGTCTGGGTGGGTTTGTAAACTCAGGAAGCAGTCAAAGGCCGCCTGGGAAGGGAGAGTAAGGGTTCCCGTCCCGGGCGGGCGGGTGTGGTGACACATCACTATCATTTCTTCAGCTGGAAGGCAAGGGCCAGACAGAGGCAGACCGTCTCAATCGGGTGGGGGGGGGGTAATTAAGAGGGAGATACAAGACACGAAGAGGGAGCCTGGGGGCACATAGACGAAACTTACATAGGCACAAAGGCTGGCCTAACCAGGCACCTGCCTGCATAGAGCCTCCAGTCCGGGCCTCAGTTCTACTTTCCCCACATTCAGGAAGAATCGCCCCAGCCCTGCTCCCCACCCGCCTCACGGCACCATGGTAACCAGGCCCAGCATATCGTCCCCTCCCCCCGCAGAGAACCCAGTTTCTGTTTGTCTCCAGGTATCTAGTCGGGGATGAGCAGAGGGCAAGTGGACACAGAGCAGGGATGAGAGAGGGGCGGGGTGGGGCGGCGGGGATGGGGGCAGAAGCAGCTATGGAAGGGAGACTAAGGAATCGCCCTGGGAGAAGGGAAAGGGGAAGCAGGGGGGCTCAGAGAGGGTGACAGGGTTGGGGAGAGACTCCAAAGAATGAAGAGGGGGCAATTCGGGGAGCTGGGGAGGCGCTGGGGAGGCTGATGGAGAAGGGTGGGGAGATGGAGGGAGAGACCAGTGAGGGGGGAAATAGGGGAGAGACTTCTGGGAAAAGTTCAGAGGACAACTGGGGCCTGGGGTTGGGAGGGAGGCAGGCAGAGAAGTGGGGGGAGAACCGAGGACAGGGGTGGGGCAGGAGGGGTGGAGAAAGAGAGGCCAGGAGACAGGGAGAGACGGGGAAGGAAGCAGAGATGAAGGGACGCAGGAACTGGGGCGCACACCGAGTTCCCGAGGTTAGGGGAAGGCGCGTGTCCTTGTGGTCTCAGCCTCCCAGTTCCGGGTTTGTCCCACGTGGTTTCAAAGAGCAAGAAGCAGAAGCCGAGGAAAAGAGCTGGGGTGTGTGGCCCAGTGTGAGCACCTCACCCCTTCTTCCTGGACCTCCGCCGACCCGCCTCTCCAGGATGCAGCCAGAAGTGGAGCCGCTCTGCTCCCCTAACCAGGGCGCCCCAGGCTTGCACAGGGAGGCAGGTGAGCAGGCCTGGGAGCAGGCGAACCGGCTCTCCGGTACAGTTGGCCCTCGAGCCCCGAACTACATTTCCCAGGAGCCCCTGCCCTTCCCAGTCTGAGACTGGGTACAGAACTACATTGCCCTTGGGACTCTGAAAGTCTGGCCAGTGTGGAAAACCCCAAACTATGTCTCTCAGAGGACGTTGCAGTTCCCCGCGCTCATGACTACGTTTCCCAGGAGGCTCCCTTGCTATATTTTCTGGAATCAAACTACATTTCCCAGGAGGCCTTGCAGATCCCTAGCCAAGACTCTGATCTACGAACTACATTTATCATAGGACTCTGCAGGTCCCTGGCCAGTATTCTGGGTCCAGAACTACATTTTCCATCAGCCTCTGCAGTTGTCGGGCTAATTAATAACCTTTTACACGAAGTTCTGCCGCTCTCTGAACGCACTTCTGGGCCTAAAACTACATTTCCCATGACACGCTGCAGTTCCCTAGCTAATACTCTGCGTTTAGAACCCCATTTCCTATCACCCTCTTCAGTTCCCTGGGAAAAAACCTCGGTTTACAAAGAATTTACCATGAAGTGCTGCAGTGTCCTGGCTAATATTTCTGGGCCCGGAACTACAGTTCCCATGAGCTTCCCGGACTTCAACAATGCCCCTGGATACCTTCACTCCTTGGTTTTGCACAATAGTTCAACGTCTTCCCGTTCTCCTCAGTCCCTGGTTCTTATTTTCGGATGGATACTGAACCAGACTCCAGGTGCCAATCTTCCACCTCAGCCCTACCCAGTTCCTCTGCGCCCTCCACAGCCCATCATCTTGTCTTACTGACGTCTGGGTCTTTTCTCTGTCCACAGACCTTACCCCCGGGCCCAGCCTGGTTCCAGAGAGTCTTCCTAACATGCAGCCAGACCACGGCTGCCTCTTGCTCATGTCAGCCCCAGGCTTGCAGCCCTTTCAGCACACTCCACCCACCTCCCAAATGCTGAGTGACATCCCAGTAAGACTCTGCATGGCTATAAATAGTAGAAACTTACTCTGTAAAGAGTGGAAATGACATTGTCCTACACAAAAAGCAGAGAGAGGTTAAATTTAGTGACACCACTAGGGACCCAGTTTCTTTCATCTCTCAGAGTTTTGATTTGAGATACATTTCATGCCTACCTCATGGTCACAAGGTAGCTGCCATAATTTCAACCATCATTTCCAGAAGTCTTCATTCTCAGAGCTCCCCAGATGTTCTCTCATCTCAACTGCAAGCACTCAGTTATCCACCTTGTTTTACTTAACAAGAGGAACAAGATGACCTTGTTATGACTTCCAGCTCTAGCTGCACCCACGGCTCATTTAACAAAACTCTCTACCACTAGGACTCAAGCAGTCCTAGGTTTTTAAATGCTTGTCAGGTGGTGCTAACAAACTGGAGTTGGGATATTTTGGTTTAAGCATAATGAATATTTCTTAGAACCTGGGAGCAGAACTATAAACCTCAAGACCCGCCCCCCATGTGGCCCACTTCCTCCAGCTAAACCCCCACTGCTAAAAGATCCCATTGCCTACAAAATAGCACCCCCAATTGGGTATCATGTGTTCAAACTGTGAGCCAGTAGGGACACTTCACATCTAAACTATAAAATTTAACATATTCCGCCAGGCAATGGTGGCGCACGCCTTTAATCCCAGCACTCAGGAGGCAGAGCCAGGCGGATCTCTGAGTTCGAGGCCAGCCTGGGCTACCAAGTGAGCTCCAGGAAAGGCGCAAAGCTACACAGAGAAACCCTGTCTCAAAAAAAAAAAAAAAAAAAAAAAAACCAAAAAAACTTAACATATTCCTACAGTCTTTAAGTCCCACTATGGACCACACCTCCTTAGGGAAGTATTCTGTGCTTGCTCTGGGGAAAGATTTCCTCTCCACTTCTGCTAGACTGGAAATTCTCAGGGAAAGAGTGGGTATCAGTCATTTGGCTAATACTGTTTCAAGTTTTCTGGTGTATGGGTGCTTTCCATTGTTCTCCAGGATACATAGGAAGCCATAGAGATGCTGTTAAGTGTAGCACGAATTCTAATTGGTCTTAATAAAAACCTGGATTCAGATATCAGGTAAATGCTGAAGGATCAGAAAAGTAAAGGAGCAGCCACTAGAAAGACTTCTACTGAATCCTCAGACTTATCACTTCCTCTCCCCACCCAGCCATATCACTTCCTGTGTGCTCCTCACAAGTGCTGGGATTAAAGGTCTGTGCCTCCCACTTACTGGGATCAAAGGCATGAGATCTCATGTGCTGGGATTAAAGGTGTGTGCCACCACTGCCTGGCCTCTAGTGGCTAGCTCTGCCCTCTGATCTCCAGGCAGACTTTGTTAGAGCACAAACAAAAATATCACCACATTTCCCCCTTTTTGTCTAAAACAAAACAAAAAACAAAACAAAAACAAAACAAAAAAAGTTATAACTAATATAACAAAAACTACATACAATAAATACAATAAATATATACAGTACATACAGGCAATAAATGAATCAATAATGTCTAGTCCATTAGCATTTGACAAATTCAGAGAAAATACTCCATTATCTATCTTATCTTGGTGAGTCCAAAGTGTTGTACCTAATTCATTTTCTATTCTAATTTGTATTACCAATCCAAAACTATCTTTTGATGTCTCTCAGCCTTATACACTTTACACCTCTTTAGTGAGTTTCTTTTCTGAATCTGGTAACAAGGAAAACTATAACTGTAAAGTCTTCAACTCCATCAGAGACCAGAGAAGGAAATAATATTATCTGAGTAAGCAGGACATGCAAACAAGCAACTTCCAAAAAAATGTGAAAAATGACAGAAACAGCTGACTGCTTGGACAGTCATCCAAAGTTCCTCTGTAACGTTGGGACATCCATCTTCGGCCTACAGGCCTAGCATGTCTGACAGACTTTTTCGTGAAGTAGGGTATTCTAAAGGGCTGTCCCACCTTGTCTTGGCAAAGTTCAGCAGTCACTTTCTTTTTTGTCCTGCTTGTCCCATTTGGACAGCATACTGTCAGCAGTTGAGGCAAGAGCACTTTCTTGCCCAGTGGCTAATTTTTGCCACAAAGAAAGTAAATTCCATATGGAGTTTCTTTGATGCCCATCATCTTTTCTGAAGGAGATTGGTGCTGCCAGGAGCAGACATGTCTCATTGTCACAAAAAAGAACATATGTTATTAAAACAGCTTAAATGCCATATTCTGCAGATCTCTGAAGTGTTTGAAGATGACCTATCTAAAATATACCTCTTTTTGACCTTGAAAACATACCTAATGTGACTACAAGTTTGATCGTAATAGGTGACTAATTACTAACCTACATTTCTTTATTACCCTGAATAGTTTGTAATAATAACTTTTAAGCACTAGCAATTTGCATTAAATTATTAAGTAAGATGTATAGGTACAATACCTTGAACAAGATTAGAAATGTATGTACAGTTTGTTCTAACAAAAATAATTTCAACTTTATATCAATATACAAAGTAATATCATTGTAAAAATATTTAAAATAAATAGTTGCTCTTTAAAAGTAGATTTAATAATCTACCCTTTTATCCTATCTATATCCCCCTTTTTTCTTTTCAGAGTAGATTCAATAAGCAACCTTTATCCTCTCATTTCTATATCCCCTTTTTTCTTAGAACCCTGAATATAATCTCCTTTCTTCAGTTTTTTTTTAAACCATTACCAATAACAACTTGCAACCATCCACCCTAAACAATGACAAATATCTATAACCCATTGAGAGACCAAAAACCACCCACCCTACCTCTTGGGAATGTGGGCATCATGTTCTTAAATATACTTCCTGCTGTTTAGGGGTGACAGCATCTTTAGGGGATCCTGTAAAGAAAATTTGGGTTAACTGTCAAGTCCTGGGAGAGGTAGCTGTATCATTTGTTGTCCAGTTTCTGCAAAATGGGAAAGTGCAGGGCTTGTCTCAAATCCTGGCTAGAGTAGTCTGTGAGGCTGGATCATCTCAGCTAGCCACCTTGAAATTGTCATGAGAAATTTGTAGTCCAAAGCCGATTTTCAGATGGTGTTTTTCAGCTTAGTGGTGTTATCATAGCCCTGATGGAATCATCATTGTGGGGCCACATCATCCTTTTGGAGACTTCAAAGGTCACTGTTAAGCATGGTCATGGTTCATTGCAGAAACTTAAACATTTTAAATGTCATATGTAGGAGATCTCAAAGAGGTTAAAGGATAAATATTTGCTATGTACATCCAGAGTACAAAAACTTAATTCCTAGTTTCCTGATAGAGACTCAAACCTGAAGTCATATACAGGAAGATAGATGAAGCCTTTTTGTAGAATTAGTTAGCATTCTATATGACCATTAAAATCATGACAAAAAGTTTAAAAATATATATTAATCTTATAAATTTTGAGATAATATTTATGCCTTAAGAAAAGTTTTAAAGCTGGGTGGTGGTGGTGCACACCTTTAATCCCAGCACTCTGGAGGCAGAGCCAGGTGGATCTCTGTGAGTTTGAGGCCAGCCTGAGCTACAGAGTAAGTTCCAGGAAAGGCGCAAAGCTACACAGAGAAACCCTGTCTCAAAAAACAAAACCAACCAAACAAACAAACAAAAAAAGTCTCTAATTTTTTTTCTTCTGTCTCATATCAGGTGGCTCTTCTGACATAAGACAGAGATTTGGATTTTCCTTT